AGTTATACGATGGTCTGAACCAGGTGTGAAAATCGTGTCGAGTACGTGGTCGCAGAGGTACGACCCCCCCCGAAATCGAGATCCTGGCACGACCCCCTCTAACAGAGCAAATTAATTCAATTAAAATAAATCCTGCAAAACAAATCAAAAAAAAAATTCTGCAAAATAATGCTAAGGACGCTTCATCTTGTCATCTATGCACGTCTTCCATCGCTGCATACTTTTGTGTACATACTGAAATATCGACTCGAGGAAAGAGGCATTAACTTTGTGTGACCTCAAGGCGAGGTTCGTTCAGAAACGCACAGAAATCCTGAAGACACGGGGTTGCGATTCAATCTTGATTCTTGCTTGAGTATATCAAAACAGCCGAGTGTATCAAAGGCCGATTCAACGGCAGCTGCGGCGCGATTGTCACTGGGTCAGATTTGCCGAAATTTCAAAAAAAAACGTCCGAATCTACACCCTCGATGAAAAGGTTGCATTCCTCCATTTCACAACCTTTGAAGCAGCTTGAGGTAGAGTTAGATAGAGCTGGATTTCGCGTTTCCAACAAGCATCGAAATTGCTCTGGAAGCCTTCCTTGCAGAAAGATAGGGTCTGTCAAATTTCGTCGAGTAAATGTCGAGGAGGCCGAAATTTTCACGCGAGTTTTTGCCACTTCAAGAGCAATATATCTCTTATATTGTAAGATCCTGAAAAAGGGAAGATAGTTTTGGAAAGCGGAAGGTTTGCGCTTCCTGATGGTCTGTTTAGTTTTCTTCTATATTTTAGTTTTCTTCTACAGCTTTTTGGTTGAAGAGATAATTGCGTCGAGGATCTATCGAGGTCGGATCCGGCCACCTGGAAATCCGCTCCCTCATTCACCATTGCAAGTGTGACTCGTTGGCAACACTCGGAATGTGTCTAGAACAATATCTTTGAACGCAAACAATAAGAATAGGAGCAATCGTCATCATCCGATTTGGTATTGGTATAAGCCATGCATCCCTCCTCCACTCACAGTTGCAGAATCGATTGAAAGGTGTTATATGATGGGGACCTTCGAACGAAACTGTATTGTAGTAGACATAGTGTGTTGTGCTATTCCTGTAACCTAAAAAACAACTTCATTTGCCCAGCGCTTTTTCTTCACGGTTGTCGTTTTTCCGACAGGGTCCCTAACAACAGCGTCATTCTCAGCGAGGTATTAAGGGAGAAGGAGCGAGTGATAGGCAGAGGAGGTGCCTTTGCAGCGCGTGCGCACATGTGGCACTCTTCTTTGCGGGGATGCACTTTCATTCTTTGTACTGCCTTCAAATACGCCCTTCTCATGAAGGTGGAGGAATGGAGCGACTGAACCTGCAAAGAAAATTTAATATCATGTTTTTTTTTCGGATGTTTTCATTTTCTGCTGCGCTATACCCTATTACCTATCTGCACCATGATACCACTTCTGTTACTGACCCCAAGAGTACGACCCCCCATGGACCAGCCCAACAGGTACGACCCCCCTGTCGAGGATTTCCTCGACCGATATTCACCCTGGTAGGAACTGCTAGAGCCACAAATTTCCGTAGAATCTTCAGCTTTACAGAACTTCATGAGGACTTTTAAATCTCTCTTGAGTATCTCAAAACTCAAACGACCAAACCCCACTCCTCTCTAGACACTTCTAGCTTCGCCTGATATGACCTTGCCCCTCTCATCGAGAATGAAATGAAGCCTTCTAGAGAAGAAATCTTCGGTACCTTCGCTCATCTTGTAAAAACCAAAAAATAAAACAAAACTTTTAATACTGTACCTCTCCGATGCAGTAGACCTGATCACGGTGCTTTGAAATGAACTGTTCCACACCTTCGATATCCTCCAACTTGACCGATTTATTCTTTTTCTATAAAAGGGAATTACAGAATAAGATCATAAAAAGACTTCAGAAAGGTATCTCAAGAATTCACTGTAAAAACTCGAAAATATCTGTACCTGAATAGGATGTATCCCTATAGCGGGCAGCACGAAATCGGGGTGTCTTGATCGCAATTCCAATACGGCGTCGAATTGACTTGCATACTCTGGACATACCACAGCATGCTTCACACCGCTCGATTTGGCCCGTTCGATGACGTCATCAACATCGGACTTGAATTTGTTATCAACCAAATGACAGTGCGTGTCAATCATATACGTGGCCATCTCGAACTGCCAGAGAACGTGGTCTGGCACGGTGCAGAACTGCTCTCAACGTCCTGTAACCATGATGAATAGTTTAGAAAAACTTGTTAGAATAAATGTATCTATTCCGCCCTTCACGAGCCTTGGTTGGCACCAGCCACATAAGTGCTCAAAGGCACGGGTCAGGATCTAACTGGTGTGTTATTTTGTTTGAAAATTAGACAAGAATTACGCTGAGGAACCGTAGTGGGGAAAAAGCAAAAGCACCATAGAAAACACTGAAATTCCCTTGTGAGGTCGGCCGTGGTATGACGGAGAGACACAGCGCTGCGAGGAGAGGGAAAACGCGAGAGAGCACGTCGTACGCGAGAGGGCGCAGACGCCACGTATGCCGCGATTGATAAGGATGGCAGCACGGCAGCACACAAGGCAAGGCCTTAGCGCCGTTGCCTCGCACTTTTGAGTCGCAACAATGTCGCGTCTCCTGGGCTTGGAAACCTCCTTCTCACCTTAGGAGGGATTGCCTCCTGGCTGTAATTCTGAACCGTTGCTTCGAACCGTCGGATTCGAAGGAAGTGATGCAGTAATTAGCTACATTTCCCATGCTAATTGCGCTGAGTCACATCTTGAAAGACTACGCCCAACATGCTTGAATTGTCAGTTATAAACAAGAGAACGAAATGTGCCAGCAGGGACAGAAAATATTTACTTGAATTGAATGGTAGGAGCGATGCACCGTACCGACTACATGTGCAGTAGGTCGACGTCAGTTTGCGAATCGACCGTACAGTTTCCCTTCGAAGAGGAAGGGCAGTAAGCTGATGGATTTGCCCAACGCGCTGGTTTTTTGGTTATATCTCATAGATGTTCTAATC